ACCGAGCATGTGTGTGTGTGCCCAAGATCCCAAGAGGAGAATGGAGGATAAGGGATTGCAGTGTGGCCACGCCCCCGGGGGGTAATTTCTCGCTTTCTGTCTTTCTGGAGAGCGTGCGTGCCATATAGTAGAAACCTCTCAAAAAAAAAATAATAATAATACTGAGAACTAAGGAAATGATTATTATAAAAATGAGGACAGTGGTTACTTCTTTCCGGGGACGAAGCTGTGACAGAGAAAGATATTGGGAGGGCTGCTGTGATTCTATTTGTTGTTTTTTTTTTGTTTGTTTTAAAGAATTTAATTTTATTTATTATTATTTTTAAAATTTGCTATTGAGCACATGTGCTCACCAGAGAGAGGCAGAGAGAGGGAAAGTGAGACGGCAAACTGCCAGGTCTGGGGTGAACTGCAGTCGGCGTGGAAGTGCAGTGCCTTACCACCACTCCACCTGCCGGCCCCACAATAAGATTTTAGGGGCAAGAAGGCGCTTCTTTTCTCTTATAGGAGAAGTAGGCCTGGCTGAAGTGGGTGGGACCAAAGCCTTCTGGCTATTTTCCAAATGTCTCCCTCGGTCTCCAGGGTTACCTTGACTTTTCCCAAATCTCAAAGTAGGTTCTCCCCACCCTTTTTTTTTTTTCAGAGAGAATTTTGCTATAGGGCATGTGTACATGGTGGAGAAAGAGAGAGAGAGAGCAAGAAATTACCCCCTGGGGGGACGGCCATGCCGCAATCTTTTCTCCTCCATTCTCTCAGGACTCGGCCATGTGAGAGTCCAGGGCGGTAGCCATTACGCCATCTGCTGGTCTCCACGGTGCTGATGTTCACTGCCCTCCATGAACACAGGCTCCTGGGTAATTAGCACGCTGACTGTGTTGTGTGACTTTCTTAGCAACTATGCAAACTCGAACATAGCATGTCGTCCGGCGCAGGATGTGTTTGCTCTACAATCAACGTTTGTGATACTCATTTACAACAACCCTCTTTTCCCATGAATCGTCAACACTAACTTTCAGATAGCCTTTCCTCAAAAGATCTCTGATTCTGAATCAACATGTCGGATGGAAAAGTATGAGGTTTTGGTGTATTTAACTTAATTAAAAACTAAGTATGTAGTTTCTGATTTTAAAAATGGACCCTTTTTATTCTAAGACTTGTTACAAAATCCTGCAGTAGGTGATTCCCTGGTCAGTGTAGAAAAGGTTATTTTATTAAGAAGGTAAAAGAGGGACCAGCAGGTGGCGTGGTGGTTAAGGTGCTGAACTCCCACCTGGCCTGGCTGACCACCGTTTGAGTCCTGGATCTGACGGCTTGCTTTCTCACGTTCCCTTTCTCTCTCTGTTCAATTTAAAAAGTAATGATAAATAAAATTTAAAATAAATTTTAAACATTTTAAAAAAAGGTAAAAGTACACAAGGCATAGTTTTTGAGTTTTCACCCAACTCTTCAAAGGAAAAATAGGGAGTGGGACGCTGGTATGGCAGTAGGATGCCCTGCTCTGCAAGGCTGACTCATGTGGGAAGGTTCCAGGTTCAGGTCCAGAGGCCCTCCTGAGTAGGCTAGTCCTCTGTGTACCCACGATGCGGGGCTGGCTGAAACCGGGGGTGGACTGTGGTGTCAAGATCCTTTTGGGGGTGCTGTCTCTCTGTCTCCTCTCTCCTCCTCTCTGGCTCATGGAAGAAATAAATAACTAAACTTAAAAAAAAAAAATTAAAAAACAACAAGGAAGAGCCACCTTCAGTGACAGTACTTCTCCCAGCAGTCGGCAGGACAGATGGCTAACTTAAGGAAGCCGTTACTCTGCCTTGGGAATGACATGTTTCGTCTATTCTTTCTCTTTAGTTCTGTGAACTTGTAAGTCATTAAGCAGCTGGTTCAAACACCGCCTGCGTGTACTTCTGTTTTTCCTGCATGTTCCGCACCCTCTTCAAAACAC